AGGAAGAAAGCAAAATAGAGCTATGAAAGAATATTTGTTCCTCTTCTATTCTGTATAATTATGTTATATAATTCAGAAAGGTAAAGATATTCCTTCAGTCTCTCTTCCGATAACACTTTCAGCTTGCCTAGATATATATGCAGAGATTTTTTTTTTAATTTTATTTTTTTAATATGGTGCATATTGTTTCTTTCTCACACTTATGGACTAGGAAACCAGAAGCTCCAGCCACAGAGCAGGTAGACATGAATCCTATGACTAATCCCAGGGATTTCAATTTGAGAAGGAAATGGTGTTAATTCACTAGGAAAGAGACACAGGGTCCTTTGCATCCTGTGATAGAGCATCCTCTGTGGGGCTGTGGGGCACAGAAGGAAGCTGGGCTCTGTCTGATTCTCCCCTGGCCCTATTACACCCAGGTAAGAAGGAGAGAGGAACCCCAAACAGCTGCAGCTTATTGTGTTGCAAGTCTGGGGCTCCTCTCCAAGCTTGCCACATGGCAAACATGGATGCACACGGGGACTACTGATTGCTCAGAGTCAGTGTACACCTGCTGTTTCCCATCCACAAAACCTTGTGCCAGCAGTTGCCAGCAATAAACTGAGCAGGAGCAAACCCTGCAGATGACACTAATCCAACTCACAAACTGTAAGAGTTATGAGAAATCTGCAGGAGAGGATGAGTTATTATTGCATGACTTCTCTTCCTGCATAATACTGCTCTTTCAGCCACTATATTAGTCAGTGATAGATGTCTACTTAGATACTTGGTGACAAAAGGTCAGTTAAGGTTGTGTTTTCTTTTCCCACAAAAAATGCTGATTGTTTGCCCTTGGTGTTTTGACAAGTTTAGACCTGTGTGGCTTTTCCAAAGGGGAAAAAAAAAAAAAAAATGTGTCTAGTCCAATCCTTCAAGCATTCAGTGAGTGTGACCCTCCATTTTCATCTTTGCAACTCATGTAATTTTCAGGAAAAGGCAAAAGCAAAATAAACTATGTTTTATATATCTGAGTTTAATGTCTGTAAAAATGTAAGCTACCAAAAAAAACCAAGGATGATTTTGAAAGTTTTTGTGAGTACACTCTAAGAAAATTCTAGGTTCATTGCAAAAGAAGCAACCATTTTCTACTTAAAATTATGCCATTTAACAACTGTGCAAAACATATTTCAAATTAAATTGAAAAACAGTAATAAAAAAAAAACCAACAAACAACAACAACAATAACAGGAAAGTAGAAGTTGCACCACTGGCTTCAATAAGTCCTGTTTACTTGTTTAAAAAAAAAGCTCATGTGATTTCCTCCTATTTTTCCTCTCACTGAAAATCATACATCAAAAGCAAAGCAAACAGCATAGAAGCTCAATCTATCAATGTAAATTGGCTCAGCTAGCACATAAATTGCATGAGGAATAAATATAGTCTGCTTGTCCTGCTGTTGAGAAAATACAGTTCAATTAGTCTGGACTACCATATGATACACAGTTTCTCCCTTTGTGTGAGATATAATTAGGAACAAGATGTAGCATCTGAGGGACTCATGCCTTTGAAGAACATGACAACTTTTGACTAAATAAGAAGGAAGATGTGAAAGTTGCAATGTACATTTCTTCTCACTGTGGGGAGTTGATCAGGACTTTTCCTGTCTGGCCATTTAATTTGCTCCTTTGTAGCTGGGCTTGCATGAACCACTGCAAGCCTGCTCTGAGATGGACTGCACAGCTGTGTGAGCATGTGGGAAATGGGAGGAGAGGAGAGGGAGAGGAGAGGAGAGATGACAAAATGGTGGAAAATGGCAAATGGGTGATTATGAAAACCTCATGTTACTCTCCAACTTGTCACTGTTTGTGACAGTAGTTGAAAGCAGCAAGCCAGCTGCTGTTCCATTCAGTAAACCATGTGGAGTCAAGGCTCTTGAATTTTGCTACGGTTGCCCATCACTCTCCTGCAAAACGAGTATTAGGCCAACAGGCAAAGATGCACAAGGTACATTTATAATGTAAAGAAAGCACCTCTTATTTAAACAGCAAGGTAATGTGCAGCATTTTGTGACAGTCTTAGAAGGCCAAATAGCTTGGGACCAATGTGATACCCTTGCAAGTCTATAACTTCTGTAAGGCAAAAGTATTATTTCTGTCAATATGTCATAAAAGGGAAGCCAATCCTTATATGAAGATAGGGTGATTGGTTATACAGCATAACTGAAAAGAAACTCTGTTCTCAAACTGACCTGACTTGCTAATATTCCTCTCTGACATGCTAGATCCACCTAAACCCTCTTAGATTTGGTATAGAAAGCATACAATCGTATTTTCATAAAGACATTTTGTTCTACCCTCCAGACATGTTTTATCTAGGTCCAGCTTCTCATACTCTGACTGATCTTCTCACTGATCTTTCAGTCAGTGGTTCAGCCTGAAGCCACGGCGTGTCCAGGAGCACTGGCTTCATACCAGAAGCTGGGGCAGAAGGTGCCATGGGCACCAGGTATCCTTTCTGGGGACACATTTGCTGGTGTGGCTGAGGACTACCAGGGTCTGCATCTCATCAGAGATGCTCTACAGCAGGCACCAGAAGAGAAGAGTTCAAGGATGTGCTTGGGTTCCCCCAGCACCCCCAACACTCGCAGGTGATGATTGTTGCTAATCCGATATGTTTCTTGTTGTACCATGATTGATAGAATCATCATTAGTATTTGGTGGAGGACCTTTCTTGTTGCTTAAATCATGTTCTTCATCATTCTGTACACATTTTTCTAGAGTTCCCCAAGAATGGAAGTGGGGTTTTTTGAAAAAAATGCTTTATTTTTAATTTCAATAATTCCCTGTGTTTTATTTTCTTCATAAGGGAATGTCTTTAAAATAACTATTTGAGATATGTGGGTGTTTTATTTGTTTTATTTCTAGTCTGTTACATACAACATGAATATTGTTGTATACATACACAAAAAGAACCTTTATGTCTATAAAATATAATACAAGGTATAGTTTGTACTAAAAACTTAAATGACTAACATTTCAGTTCAGGAATGCTGCTTAAACAGCACACTTCAATGTGACGATATTTTTTTCACAGCAAAATTTCAGGAAAATATACTAAACCATTTTGAATTCAGACAGAAAAGTATTTGCTCAACACAAAGTTGTTTAATTAGGGTATTTAGCTAGCTCTGTAGACAACCATATGTACGCATGGTTCAAACATGAAGTAACTAAGCAATATATTCTGGGCTTTACTTCTCACTTTATTGTTTGAATATTTACTGGAACAGGTTCTTATCTGTTGTAAATCTCTGTAACTTCTTTGATTCTCATGCAATAATGCCAATTTTATATCAGATCAGAAGAGCTGATCTGAGCTAGATTCTGTTCATCAAATTATATGCAGCTTGTATTAGTTTAAAATCCATTGCATTTGCACAGTGCTATTGAAACTTTGCATGGTTACCTTTATAAAAAATTTCCAGAAATGTGGGTTGTACAAAAGGCCCCAAAAAACTTGCACACATCTGTTTTAGATAGGAAAAGGCAGAAATGTTTTCAGGATTATGGGAAATCCTTTGTTAGCATGTTAATCTTGTTAGTGAACAACCAAATCTGAGGTAATACCAAGCAAAACTTGGGGAAAGTGTCTGAACTATCCTTCCAGTTAAGTTTCCCAGTTATTGGCCAGAAAACTTCTGGATTTTAACTTGTACGGCAAACCGGGTCACCTAGAAACAGATTTTGAGACTTAATGACCCATATTGCTGTTTACTATTTTCAAAGAGATCTGGAGTTGAAGTCTTTTAAAGACTGAATTAAAAATATTTTACTGATCGCTGTAATTCTCTGATATGCACAATTTCTAAGTTATACTAAAATGAAAATATGCAACTGTCAAAATTATTTAACTGATAAAGTCATTTAATGACTGACTGATATCCAGGTAAATATCTGGACCTAAGTCAACATATAATCATGGTATATCTATCAGACATTAATCATATCATAGATGCTTTTACCAATTAAACTTGTTTTTAAATAGCATGTAGCCTAAGTGATATAGGGAAAATAAGAATAGTCAAGATTTTTTTTTTTTTATGATGTCTAATTGCATAGCATATTGTAATGTAAATTTAAAATTAAACATATTTTAAAAGATGGTATGTTTAGAAAACTTTAGAATGTTGTTCGAGAACAAGAGGCTGATATATACGTAAATAAGAAGTCCTAATTTGGGTCTATAGCTGCTTGATTACACTGAAAACAAGTTTGAAGTAGATGTGACTGAGTTAAATACAAATATTATTCAAAATGAACCTCAGCTTTCTAGAAGAATTTGCAAAGTCATACAAAGACTTTAAGATACTGAGGGCCTGATCTCAGAGGAGGCCCATGAAGCCCTGCTGTTCTGGAGGAAGCAGCATACACAGTGCTGCTTGCAGGATAAAATGTGACTCAATATTGCACATCCTTACTCTTCTGTTCATAGATACCGGGACTTGTTCTTTCTCCTTATAAAAACTTTGATGTGTGCCATTCAGCACAAAGTTTCACAGTGGGAGAAGCAGCTGACAAAAACAATTGCTTCCAGTCTAAGAGGGCTCGTAAAGCCCTATAATTGTGAAAATGAACAGTGTATGGTTTGGTCTTTGTGAGACAAAGAACATCAGCAGAAAAATCGCTTTATTTTCTCTCTTCAATTGGGAAGAATAACAGTGTAGTTTACAATGTTCTACATACTCCATAAGTGCAAGGACTAAGTCTTGGCTGTGCAAACACGTATTATAGAGGAGCTCTTGTATCGTCTCCATAGCAGGAAAATGTGGGTTCATTTAGTCTTAAAACTCAATTAGAACAAATTCTAACTATACATTTTCAGAAGTTTGTTTCGAGCATTGAGCCTGTCCAAGTGATCATAAGTGCTGGGCAAGTACAGATCTGAAACCAGAAAACGCACACACCCCTAAACTCATCAGGGTCTTTTATATAACATCTAACACTTTCTGCATCATGGAGATTTTATAACATCACATACATGTCATCATTCATTAAAATCTGGAAGCCAGCAAATGAAGCTATAGTGCTCGATGTTGGCATCAGGCAGGAAATCTGAGCTGCTTTGGGGTCATTATTTTCAGCTGCTCCTGAAAAAGTGATTTTTTCCTGAGGCACATGTTTGTCACTGTTCTCATATTCTTGCTGGCTTTCTGCCTCAATGATGCATTCTGGCTCTTCATATTCTAGCTTGGTTTGCATCACTGCATGATCAGTTTTGTCTATCCATTCCTAGGAAAATTAAAATGTTGATGTTGGCAGGGACTGAGATATCAATCAAAAGAAACCTGTACAGACACTGATTTTCCTCTTCTAATGGCATCTTTCCAGAATGAGCCACAATGGAGAAGATGAAAAGGAAGTAATATAGACAAGCAGGACACAAGATAGCTGGGTGGAAGAAAGAATGGCAGGAAAGCAGACAGGAATTCACAAATGCATTCAAACTCCTGCTTCTTATTAAGACCACATTAAATACATTTTTGTATTTAATCATGGCCTTTAAAAAACCTTAGATGTGTAAAATACCCGATGTTGCTCATGCATTCTTTGACCCAAACCCTGACTTAATCCAAATTAAGACTGAGTTTACATGGAGATTTAGGTGATACAATTTGAGCTCAGAAGGGAAACTGAGGACCACACAGTTGCTTGCTCACACCTTCCCCCTCAGGACTGGGAAGGACAAAATAAAGAAAAAGGTTCAAGAATAGAGATAAGGATAGAGAGGGATGATTCACCCACTATAGTAATGAGCAAAAGACAGATTCATTCGTAGAAGAAAAAGAACATTAATCCAGACACTGACAGCAACACTTAACAGACAGAGCAGGACAGTAAGAAGCATTTCCACATCTTAAAAACACCTTTCCCCAACCCGTCCCTTTTTTTTCAGGGCTCAGGTTTGCTCCACATCTCTCTGCCTCCTGCCCCTCAGCTGTGCAGGGGGCAGTGAATGGGGGGTGTGGTGAGTCTTGCCACTCTTTCCTTCTCAGGGGAAGGGCTCCTCACACTCTTCCTCTGCTTCAGTGTGATGTCCCTCTCATGGAAGACAGCCCTTCATGAACTTTCTTTAATGTGAGTTTTTCCCATGGGCCAGAGCCCTTTCTGAGCTGTTCCAGCATGGATCCCTCCCATGTGTTGCAGTCCTCCCAGTGCTGAAGTACAGCAGTGGGGGCTTCTTTCCACAGAGTCCCAGCCTCCTTTGGGCACAACCACCTGCCCTAGCGTGGGGTTGCCCATGGGTTGCAGGTGGGCTTCTGCTCCACTATGGACCTCCATGGGTGGCAGGGTGGCAGTCCTGCTGTCTCACCATGGGCTGCAGGGGAGTGTCTAAACTGGTGCACATCCCCCACTTCCTCCTCCTTTCTCCACTGACCTCGGTGTTCACATAGGTATCATCCTCGCAACTCCTCCTCACAACTCCCACTCCTTCTTCCATGTTTCCCTTCTTAAATACATTATCACAGAGGTGCAGCCACCATCGCTAATCAGCCCGGCCGTGGTGCAAATGAGGGTCCAACTTGAAGCCAGTGGAGCTTTGAGAACCTTCTCACAGGGGGACACTGCTGTAGTCCCCTTCCCCACTACCAAGAACTGCTGTCACACACAAACCCAGCACTTCTGTACTAAAGCTTCAACATAAATTTGTATTTATATCTTTCTTCTTCAGTTTCAGTTTAAAGCTATTTTATATAGAGAAAGTTTTGTTTGTCACTGAAACGTTATTATTGCTCTTTGATATTGTCATTGGGTTTTAAAATGTAAATATTTGACCTCTCTCCACTCAGAGGAAACTTAGTGGTGATTAAGATAAAGACAGTCCAGTTAATACAGAAAAATACATCATGTATGTGATGTCATGGACTCAAGGAGCAGTAAGAAATCAAAGCGAAAACTGTAGTCTATTCATTTGACAGTCATTTCATGTCTAAAGTTTTAGAGACCATACACCTCTGTGGCTAAGAGACAATGCTTCCTATCATGACTGACATCTCCATAGGCATGACTGCCATCACTGGCTCAGCACTAACTCACAGCACTTCACAAATATAAAGAGTAAGATCAGGTTGAAGCAATCTCCCTGAGCTATCATGTGCAGGAATGCATGCAAACACTACAGTGGCATCTCACTGGCTCTTGTGTCTCTGGAAACCCTTAAATTCTTCTCCAGCAATTTCTCTGTCTCTATAACAAGTGTCTTTTCACAGTGCCAATGCAGCACTACACTGAGTGTATGAGCTCAGGTATTTGCACTGTGGATCCTCTTGGTGATGCTGCACAAGGGGAAAGGCTTTTCTCTTGGGTCAGAGAGTGTTTGTGGTAATGCCTGTGCAGAGCAAATATCAGTAGCTACTTTCAAATTATTCTCAACACTGTAGAGATTACAATCTTGCTGGGAAGGGGAAGTTTACCTGGAAGTTTCCATTATGATCACTGAAGAGATCAGAAAATATGTATTTTGGATCTGGTATAGCAGGCATGACTGACTTCTGAAGCCTGCAAAGAGGAAAGAAAAATACAAGTTGATATTTTGCTATAGTGTAGTCATTCACACAAAAATCTACTTTAGCACAGTTGGGTAACCACAAATATATTTTACATGAGAGTACTCTAGGCTTGAATTATTTTTAAATGTGTTCTGAAGTCAAAAAGTAGTTATAATAGTATGATAACACCATCAGGCTAAGAGTGATTTTTCTGCTGGATTTTCAACCAACCCCATCCTGGTGAAATCCGTACTCTATACAAACTTCCAGCTAGTCAGGAAGTGCCATTCTGTTCCATGCAGTAGTCAGAGTTTTACATTCCCTGGCCACATTCTCCTAGACAGGTGGTGCAGTAACCAGCTCTATTGGCTGACTTAGGGAACACAAATATAAACCTCAAACATAAAAGTATAGGAGGAAAAACTCAACTTACGATCTGAAAAGGTTATCAGAGTCCCATATACTTTCATATCTGAAAATACTGCATTTTTGGGTTGTTGGGTTTTTTTCAACAAAAAAGCCAAAATTTGGGGCCTTTGCAGGTTTGTTGCATTTTTGGTTTGGTTTTTTTTTTTTTTTTTTTTCAAAGTTGAATGCACTCAAGCTTACTTCAGCCTACTGCAAACAGACATTGAGTCTGATGAAAGTTGCACAAAAGGATGTCAGTTCATAAGAAAAAAAAAAAAAAAAACAAATAATTGGCTTCCCAGGATTTAACTGGATTTTAAAAAGGAGAGGAAATTAAGAGAAAGTGACAGAATTTTATCTTGAAACATTGTATTTTACCATGATTGTTCTGGTTTTGAAATTTAAAGGATTTGGTTTTTGGAAGGCCAGGATACATTATCCCTCAAATAGTAGTTAAGCTACTGACTTCTACATCTTCATGATGACTTCATTTACCAGATAAGAATTTTGAGTATTATGAGACTTGATCCTGAATGATAGGTCTATTTTCATGACATAGTTATTTAGTACTAACCAATAAAATTATATTTACCTCTGCCATTTGCACAGAAGAATCAAGGGGATAAGCATCATTAGAAGTACTGCCAGCAAACAACTTAAAACAACTACTGGGTTTGACTGAGATTTTATATCATCATCATCACATGAATCTAGGAATAGTCACAAAAAAAGTATGTGAAAAATTATTTTTTGCTTTAAGAGTAAATATTCTTAATCATGATGAAACATTGATTTTTCTTTTTTTAAAAAAATAAAGCAAATAAGTTTTTAAGAACAAATAAGTTCAATTTTTCAAGTGAAACTGAAAAGCTAGCCTACCCCAGACCTTGAAATAAAGAAAACAGTATATTATTGATATAAATTGACCAGGTACACGACAAAGAAGCAGGCTTACAGGCAAAGAGTAGAGATGTTATAAATGATGTTATAAGTTTTCATCTTCATCACATTGCATTGACAGTGATACAGCAAGTTTGTGCTAAGATCTATACTACATACATCTGCTTACAATCACCAAAGCTGCAATTGCAATTTTACTTGTAGCCTGTCTTATTTCCCAAGATAAAACAAAGAACCAAGTAACATCTCTCTCATCTCAGCAAACAAAAAGCCAGCAAACCACAAGTGTTGATACCCAGAAAGTAACTAGTGGCAGGATATCATCTAGCACACAGGTATATAATACTAATGCATTTTGTGCAGTTTTCAGCATTCCCATTTTTTTTCCTGCAGCTTTTGTAATGCCACCTTAAAACTCTGCCTCCTACTACTGATCTTCTGCTGTCCACATAAAACCTATAAAAACTAATGTTTATTCATGCAAGAACAACTGTCCAGTCTTTTCCACCTGCCTGCTGTTCAACTTGCCAGAAAGCCACAAGAAGTGTTGTGATCCCCAAGTAAGGCATTCAGAGTCTATGAAATTTCTTGAGCATAGCTCTGTTCATGTCTTCCCTGATGTTAGCTTTGGCATCAATAATAACTCATTATAATCCTGAAGCAAAGTGCATGCCCAGTGAAGGGGCTGTGCCAATGTCACTTTATATCCAGGGGCACCCAGAACAACTGAACTGTTATTAGTCCATCTCCTCTGTGCTTTCCTTCCTTTCAGTTACCTGCTGGTAACCATGCAAATCTGTTGGGGTGGTGTACAGTCTTTCCTTTACTGCAGTAAACTGTTTTTTGATTTTGATAACCAGTAGAAATACTGTTTCCATCGAAAAACTAATTGAAGTCAATCACACTCACTTCAATGTGTCTGTCTGGTGGGAACTCAGTGCTGATATTGACTACACTTCCATTTCATCTCTTTTCCCCCATCCTTCCTGTTTTGATCAATACCACACATATGACCATCAGATTCCTATGACCTCTAGTCCTGTAGTTCAACTGGATGCACTCTCAAAACAACTGCCTTCAAAAATGGGGCATCAATCATATGTGGACACATCCCCGCCCCTCCCCTCCACCCCACACCCTCCGTGCATCACATCACTGTCATTGGTGGACCCTAGACAGTATTGTAACACAAATTATAAGGACAGTTTTAACTTTGCTTATTATGGCATTAATGGATAGTGTTATGGGCCATCAGGAACAAACTGGACAGGAGTTAAACTTGGGCAATTAGACAACCACATGAACTTTCTTTGATAACAGAAGATGGAGCACAACAGTGCCACATTAATTTGCTGCATGTTCCCAGACTCTTTTGCAGTCATCCCTTCCCCATTTGTACTTAGACAATATATGAATGCAGCACAGCTGTTACCTAATAATGTGCCATTCATCCAAAATGTTTCTGCTTCCCAGTCACTGCTGTAATTAACTACGTTGCAGTAGGGTACTAGCCTCTTCAGTCTGACCCGGAAAGAATAGCATTTCCTTGGATCAAAGCCTTGTTCTCCAACACTGCAACACTTAGAAGTTCTGGACTGAGAAGGAAGGTGTATCATCGTTAATTCTGTTTTTCAAGACAGTGCCTCAAAATGTTACACTCAGTTGTATTCACAGCTAGGACAAGGGATAGACGAACCCCAAACCTCAGAACTGCATTTTAACTTCTCTGAGTTTCAAGGAATTCTGTTTCTTGACTGACTCTTCACTATTCATATCCATTCCTCATTGTCTGATATTGAGGTGAAGATCATAACCATCATTACACAGTGAACTATGTTACAGTTACATATCTACAATATGCGAAGACACGGATACACAAAGTATTTACAAGTTGTATTTGAGACTGGAAAGGTTTAAGTCAATTAAATAATATTTAGAAATACTTAACAGCTAACTTCAGAATAAATAGAAATCCTTTCATCTCTTTCTGTTCATTCTATTTATTTTTCTTTCTTTTTTTTTTTTTTTTCTCTCCCTTTTTCTATCTTCTTTTCTCTACTCTGCTCTCTGCTTTTATCTTCCAATGAACCTTTCCCTTAGAGTGTCATCAGCTCTTTGGGAGGCAACTAGTTATAACTTAAAAAGTAAATGATTTCTGGCATGGCAGGGATCCTGGATCCTAAAAATCTGTCTGTTTTCTGATACCAGCTATATTTGAAAATATAGGATGGGAGAAACATTTGAAAATAACTTTATTTTGCATTCTATGGAGATGCTACGTCCAGCTCCTTTCAATGTTGATTCAAAATGTTATGTTCAACTCACTTGCCATTCTCTGTCAAACTTGCTTTTGTATTGAAGCTCAAGTCTCAAGCACTTCACAGCTCTCTCTGGTTTATTACAGCTTACAGTAACAGTGTCATCTTTCCAGAAGAATGTCACATTCTCTGGTCGATTGGGTTTTACTAAGAAGAAGAGAAATAAATTATGCTATAGTTTCTTAAAAATAAGTACTTTTCAGTTAAAATTACTGTTATTCTTTTGCTGTCACAATGTTTTTCTCAGAAGAAAGTGAAGAAGGTGGACTGTCTTTCTCTTGATTGTAGGGAGTATGAGGAGACTAGAATCCTTCCTTAGGTACCTGCAGTAGATTCCTGACATGAGATAGCATCTACCTTTGAATGTGGCACCTCAAATGATGAGAAGTGTCATGGTGTCAAGCTCCATTTTCATGTTTAATATGGAGGTGAGATACAGAAGTGCATCCTCCAAGGAGAAAGAGGCTTCTTCATTGGGAAGGGACTGGCAAATTTAATACCCCAAAATCTACAAAACACAGCTGTGCTGCTGCTGGAGGCTGTGTGGGATATGGTAGTGCATCTGCAAAAAGCACTGGGTGCCTACCTGTGCACAGCTGAATTCAGAGCTATGTAGCTGGTTAGTCTTCAGAACTAAGTAAGAAATACATGTGTGAGAAGAGTATTACATGCTTTTTCAATCCTTCTGGTTGCCTTTTTGTATTATGAAAATTTTGCCTTCCTAATGTAAAGACTTATGTCTGATCCCTGATATTTGTGCTTTGTTACCTAACCCTTTAGAAATTCATTTTACTATCAGTGGGTGTTTAATAACCAAAATTTGAGGATCAGGCTGCACTTTCTATAATTTACTGGATACAGGTAAAATTATGAGATATAAAAGTATTAACAAAGTTAGATGCCCTGACAGGCTTTTTAAAATTCCTTTTACTAAATCATTATCAATAAATGCTAATAATGTATTTGGAATATACGTATTTTTTCAGAAAATTCTGAGTTGTATATTTTCTTTGGGATTTTTATCAGAAAAAATCCCTCTACTCTAAATGCCGTAACTATGTGACATTCCAGAAGATTATGATAAACTAATCACACACAAGATGTGCATTTGGGCTGGAGGAATTTAATAAAAACAGGAACATCATCTCTCTACTTGTAGGATGATGTCTCTTTTATGCTGTCAGACTGTACCAAAGTCACTCAACTAATTTCTATTGACGTCTGATGAGGGTTTTATGACAGCCTCTTTGATAAGAAGGAGTTTGCTGCCTCACATGACATGGAAGATGACAAAAGAATGGAAGGTTGAAAATATGAGAAAGATCACACAGCCAGCACTAAGACAAGAAACTATCAACGTTTATTAATTTTTCTTGATATGAATACTGAGCAGGTCTGCAGTAGACTAAGCACACCCGTATATTTTAGTATTATCATTCTGATTTTGAAACTGTGTTTGGGGACAAATATGACTATGTAATCTCACTTAGCTGCAGCTGCACACAGACCTGCGTAAGTACTGTTGACAGCAAGAGATGAAAATCAACATGAAATAACTATAATTTGGTTTTGGGACACACACTAATAATGTTTAATACACCAGTATAACTGATTTCTTCTCAAACAAATGACAACTAGAGAATCAATGAAGACACTAGGACTACCAAAGAAGTTGTGATTTTACATACTTACTATAAAAATCGGATTTTAGTCTTTTAGAAAAAAGCTCCTCACTTCCATTACTGTGCCTGATAGAGATGGCAAGGGTGGGTCCTTCTGTTTTAAAAAGACATCCAGAGTTATAATCTTCATCCAATAAATAGGTGGGACATGGCTTCCAAACCTTTTGCTTGCCTTCATCAAATCTATAAATAAAATAAAATTAGTGTATAGAACACTTACTTAACTCTTCCCAGATAATACAAGTGAATTCCTTTTTGTTACTGGTTTTTGTTTGTTTGTTTGTTTGTTTGTTTTCTTTTTCAATTGCTCATACCAAGAGAAGTCTGTGTATGGAATTCCCTGAAGCAGCAAATTTCATAGTGGTGTGAGGGAATTCATAACTTAAACCTCATTGACTTTCCAGCCCTGGGTTTTGACTCAGTCTGAAATTATCAAGTTTCCCATATGTTCTTGTTTTCTGATAAGAGAATGAATTGCTCAAACAGGTGTTTTCATGAACCTGTTTCCAGGTACTGCTAAAATTTCTTTCATATATACCACTCAGAAATAAAAGAGAAGATCAAGAGCTGTGACTTTAACCAAATTTGGTCTTTAACTAAAACATTATATTAATGTTTCTCATTAACGATGCCAGTTAATAAGGAAAATATACAGTCATATGTGGATAACACACTTTCAATAGTGTAATTAACATTTAGCACAATAACAGAAGAGGGACAAATCTTTCATATAATGTCAGTTGTGACCGACTATTCAGCAGGCTTATTGTTTTGTTAATTTCTGTAGCAGGTTGTGAATATAAACAGGTTTCATGCTGGATGATTAACAAATGTTAAAATCATTTTCAGGTACCATTCACAGAAGACTCAAATGGACTTAGGTATTTCAGCTTCCCAAAGCAAATCCTTTAAGAAGAGAAATATAAACCTTGACAATACTCACGTATAAGAAAATGATACGTTCTTGCCAGGAAATAGTTCTTTTGCTGCCCACGTGATCTGCATCTTCTCATTATTGAAATTGATTATTGTGGTGTTGATGGCATCTTTCCAACCTGCCCAGGACATTGACAGAGAATGTGATTTCAGCAGTGAGTATGAAAAGCATCCCTTGACATTGGTAGGCAATCAGATTTCAAAGATATTTATGCAATAGACTCAGATGATCATAAAATAAGAAGCCATAAGAATATCTAAAATGCAAGGAGAAAGACTAAAAAAAAAACAACTTACAGAGGTTGAAATTTGAATTTCAAAATAGCAAACTGAAAGCATGCACAGCAACACCAGAGAGCATCCCATGGGCTGGACTAAAAGATATAGACTGGTTCACTTCTATGAATGCATAGGGCCTATACCTTGAGTCCAGCCTTGCCCCATAATACCTACTAAAGTTTTCCTGCTAAGGAGAAGTATTTAGGAGCTAATGCCACATGAAGCCTGTGGGTAAACTGTCAGATGTTTACTGTAAGAAATAAGGGACTAACAACACAGGTCAAGACCATAGGAACCCAGAATAGGTGTACTGCATATTTGGTCTATGTGGTTCTGGCCAATTCCACTTCAGAGACAAACAAGATCATTTAATGGCCTCTGACTGCACGCAGATATTATTTCTTCTCCTGGCTTTCTCCTTGTTATAGCTCTTGATAGAGACATGGGTATTTTAATTCTGTATCCATCAGGGTTCCACAGTCAGACACTGAAGGTAAATCTGCCATTAAAACCCAGAGAAATTAAGAAGGTAGAAGGAAGGATTAGAAACCCAATCTATATCAAGAAAAAGGACAAATTCTTTATTTTGCACTCTATAAGATGTGAAATTATATTTACTTGAATGAACAAAGAGGAAGAAAATGTCTTGGATATCAGCAAGAAACCATTTGAGGGTAAAATTTCCAGACTGCTGTCTCCAGACATGAAGTGTCTATCCCTAAAATCTTTAGCTGGAATGTTCCTGCCCAGCAATGGAATAGAGGTTTTTAACTTTGATTGCTGGCAATATTTTATGCCACTCTAGACTTTTGAAGGGATTTAAAGTGGAAAAATTTTAAAACATTTCTTATGAGCTTTTTATCACATACAGTTATCCTGAATGTTTATGTGAATCAGCCCTAACTATCCTTATGGTTGCTATCTTTTTCTCCATAATCAACACTAAGAATGTGAGAAAGGCATGTGGGTTCAAGCAAGCGTTTTGCCTATTTTCATGCCTGTATCTCTACTTCTAGGCATTTCATGACTTCACAAATTAGACTTAGTCAAAATATTTTTGTATAGTTGGAATTGTGTTGTAAAATGTTTCGTCAAAATCATTCAAGAAATGACAAAAATCCAAGACACACTGGGTAAATGTAGCTGCAGGTCCTTGCTACATGTTTCATGGAGCTCTGGTAAAAATGATTCTGCTCTAAACAAGAGAAGGACTTGAAACTAACTCCTCCATTTCTTAACTGATGCCTGCAGGCTTGTTCTGTATTGTTTCCTCAAATTGAAAATCTCATGTGTTTTTTTCTGAAGAATGGAGAAGTGCTACTACATGCTGAAGCAAAAACAGAACTTCAAAAACCTCAAAAGCTATAATAAAATGGAATTTATCCAGCCAGCTCTACTTCTGTTACAAGAGACTGCCTAGCCTTTGTTTCCTAACTCCTTGAACCCTTTGTAAGTCCCCTCAGCAGGTCTAAGAGATAATCTTGTCTTTAAAGCCTCTAAGAAATATGATGGCAAATTGCCTAAGAGTGGATCCTTGCTCTGCAATTGCACTAACATATTTCAGTTTTTATGGACTAAATTCTAGCGCGGTTGTGTTGTGAAGTATATAGTGTTAGTGTAACAGAAATCAGTATGACTACTTGGGCTTAGATTTTCTATAAACATAGTTAAATGTACATTATAATGCATATTTAAGTGTATAGTTACAGGTTCTCCATCTTTAAATAAAATTAACATTATAAAAGATAATATAAATGTTAGTGAATAGAGAATACTGTACTATCCTGAGATTATTTTTATGACTATAGAATGAATGTTTTCAATTCCATTTAAAAGCAACAAAATATGTACTTTCCATTTTTTGGTAATTAGTCTGATGCAGATATTTTCACTTTGAGAAATAACTGCTAAAGCCCATATTTCAGTTATGAAAATAAAAGCAGGAAGATCTGACCTGACTGACCTGTTGGAAGGCAACAAAGGTCACCAATGTGTCTGAACCTTGGATAGACAACACTCTATTCTCTATTTTTCCGTTACATTATGATAGCTCTATACTGCTTACTAGAGGCTACAATACAGAGATGCATACTAAATCTTGGGTTTGGCAATGAATATTTTTTTGGATGACAGAGAATATCAGTTTGGCCCCAGTCCTGCAGGGATTTATTGGTGGACTTAACTTTGCACACTCTGAGTAGTTCACCTGACTTCAGCCAGCTTACTCAGAGAACATCAACTTAACAACACATATAAATCTTTCTAGGATCAGAAACTTTTTCTGAAACCTCTACATATTATGAATTGAAATTCAGGAATTTTAACATTTAAATATGAACTCCAACAACTGCAGTAACTTATGTACTAAAATGGAAGGTAATACATTATTAAATACTTTAACAATAAATCAAAAATTTAATAGAAATGGAACTGAAATTGTAGTAAACTGTCTGGTGATATACATCTATTCTGTGCTCTAGTTTTTAACAATTTCCTAAGACAGTCTATCAGTCTGAATATAATTAGTAGTTATGTAGGACAGAAAAGGCTTTACCAATCTTTTTTTATTAAAGACTCTGCTTCTAGAGCTCTAGTCAGGGAAGTTTTCTCCTGTGCTTTCTGATTTCATGCATTTTGTAGCCTTTTTGAATGTAGTGTGAGTTGTGCTTGTGTAAATGTTCAGTAAACATTTGCATGCATCTTTTCAAATTATAGCATGCATATGTTGCATAATTCACATTTCCACGTGAAAAGATGTATAGACCAAGTGAGGTTTTTAAAGTTTGGATTAAATTGACACCACATCCTCTGAGGATATGTACAGGTTATGTAAAATATGGTTATTTCTTTCTGATGATCTTTCCTTTGCCTTCATCTGAAAAGGTGTTCAGTTTCCTTTTTTTTAAATTGTTTCTTTAAGTATCTATACATATATAGTTCTGGAGGCATAATCATTCATATCTTTTGTTAATGGAAAGAGATAAAAAGAGAATAGAGGGGACCATTTCTCTCACTCTCTTTATGATAGACTTTTTATGAATCCATCCATAACACCATGGATTGTTCTCAGCTAATGTGACAACTCTTCCGCAGTAATTGTAATTATTTAAAGCATTCTTCTATTCATGATCCTAGAGGCACACAATAGAACAAAGTAACACATTTATCATTACTCTTTGTATTATGATAATGGGTGGATGGAAAGGTCAAAAATATTATGAATATGCAGCCCCTGTATGGCAACAACTTTGTCTGAGGACGGCCTGCTGGTCTTGCTAGGTATGCAGTACGTTACAGTGCTGTAGGACACATATGGTGCCCTGGAGCATGAGCTTCAGAGAGAATTATCCAAGTCTACATCTTCAGTAAAACCAGATGGGGACTGGTTGGACTCCGCACAAGCCTTTTACCTCACAGACACTGCTGGACACCTAACTCTTCTTAGGATAGAGACGCATGGAAAAGATGCTATGGTGTGTGGAGAAAGTACTTTTACAGAGGAAAGTAAAAAAATTTTCTTGAGCAATAAATCATGCAGACACAACCATGAGCAAGAATATGAGCAAGTACATTCCACCTCCAAGCCACTTCTGAAAGTTTATTACTGAGAAAAAATGCTATTGAAGGGGAACATTGTAAAAAGGCTGAATGTCATGGAACAGATAAAAAAAGAGAAAAAAGGAGAAGCAGAATGTCAGTCTGCAAAGATAACAGAATGGACCATGCATGTACTGGAACAACTGCAACCTCATTGAAACATAACAAAGAACAAAAACCACTTGTGATTTCCTTACACTCATGAAACCTGTTAAGTAACCGCACATTGAACTTCCACATATTGCAGCACACTGTATAGAAACCACTGAAGAGCAAGACCCAGATCTGAGCCTGCAGTCTTTAGTTACCCTTAATATTACTGATCTATGAGAACGGTTTAATTAATAGGAACACGTGTAGGAGAAAGTACAGTTCCTTGTACACAAGACTGCTAGATGGAATGCACAGGACAAAAACTGAATAGAAAATCTCTTTTCAAGAGAAGGAAAAGACATCAGGAGAGAGTTTCTTTATAGACATTCTAAGGCAAGGCATAATCCTTATAGCACAATTCCTATAAGCCATCAAACTGTTTTTTTTCAGATCACCACCCATTGCTAAGCAGCACGACACTTTGCATCAAATAAACACTACAACTGTAATTTTCAGCTTTTGTTCCACAAAGTCTTACCATCAGTACAGCATGGCTATAAATGGTTGCCATCTTAGGGCAGGGTAGAGTCATGTCCCCTCACAGAAGAGCCAGTGACTCACAGAAACAATTAACATTGGAGAATCAGGTGGTGCTGCATTGCTGCAATTGTACTTGTCATAAGTACAGCAGAATAGAGAGTTGATTTATAGGTTGATAAGATGAGAACATAACTTTAAAGTATTTCTCCTTATAAAATGAATATGATAAATAAACAAGAGTGAAGATTAGATTATCAGTCTATGTGTTGGGCTTTATGTTTGATTTCTGTAATAATCCATTTATCTTTGGCAATCTATAAGTAATGGCATTGCAGACAAAACACATGAAATATAAATGTTCTTATATTTAGGTAGCCAAATAACCAGTCTTTAATGTCTTTATTAAGTTTGCTGTTTAATAGTATTTTTACCTTGATGCTTTCTCCATTGCAGGATCTTGCTAGATATTTCCCATTGTGTTCATTCTTCAAGAATACTAAGAGCTGAAGTCTTACCTAGAATCTGTTTTATCCATCTTTGTTTAATATGAAGGCTAGTCTTTTTTGGACACAGTCAACTTTGTTATAACCTCTGCCTTAGACAATCAATAGCCTTGATTAAAGAACAGACACAAACTTAGCGAGTTCTGCCTTGATTTTTAAGTAGAAAACTTTCACTGAGATCTGTTATCATCGTCATCATCATCATCATTATTGTTTGGGGTTTTTTTAAGAATCCACTTTCATCTCTCCTGAATATCAATTTCTGTTTGGTTAATTCATTTCACCAAAAAAAGAGTACTGAATATTGTAACACATGAGGTAAAGTATGCCCTGAAATGTTGCTAACTAATATATGAATTTCATAAATAAATATCTGGGGTTTTGAACTTACCAGGAGATTGTGACTGAGAAGCCACCAGGTTGCCCAGTGTGAACATCAGTGAACATGCTTGAAGGATGAGTCTCATGCTTGGAATGACACAACAGACTGTGAAGAGATGAGTAATCATAATCTCCGGACTTTACTATTTGATCACTTTATACCAGTGGCTGGAGGGAACTGGAGGAAATGACTACAGGAAATAAAGAATTGACATATCTCTAGCTATAAACAAATCAGAAGTGTAGGACTTTGGAATGCACACCTTCTTTACACTATGTTAAAAAGAAAATTAAAATTCTCAGAATATGAGTGCCTTTCTTGTTAGCACTTTGCTTTCTTTATCTTTTCACAGCTGTATCAATTGGATGTGACTGTAGCCCTGATCCAGACAAGGACCGGGTAGCTGTTCATAGCTGTGACCACATCATATCTTGGATGAAGACACTGAGCTCAAAGTGTCCAGTGACCCGAGGGTAGGAGAGGTGCAAACAACCTACCTCTCCACTTACAAATCAGGAGCTGTTCCTGCTAGCAAATGTTTAACCAGCCACTCCACATGCCTGGTGCACCTCAGCTGGCTTGAGCCACTTCTGTCCTCAAATTGGATGCAGATGTTGTGGGCCTTTCTCTGAAAAAGAGACACGAGCTACTAGAGGTAGGGAGGCTATTACACTACAGGTATCACTGGGATGAATTTCCTCCTGTGTTACCTGAATACATATATACTTGCTATACCTTCCAAATATATCCACATACCTAGCATTACATATATACATACACTATAACTTATATGTCCATATAGCTAAAATTATACACAGAAAGTGGGAAATAGAGCAGTGTGTTGCCTGAGATGAAACATTTTAGTAATAGCAGAACTTAAAATCTTATCATTATCATGATTATCGTGTCTAACGAGACCTATTACCTGTAGGTCTGCAGTAAACTGGGGTTAGGTTATGTCCACATAGTAATGCAGCAAGCAGGAGTGGTGAAGCAGGAGGGTGAAGCACTTGGTGCTGAGGACTTGAGAGCCACACAGTGTGCATGGGGACAGCAGGGAGTCTTCCCTGGGCTAGGACCAGTCCAGCCTCATGAGCTGAATGTTAGTTAGCAGTCAGAGTCTGCTAGATGCCCTTTTGGAGCCCATCTTCTGGGCTAGGCTCACCCAGGGGAACCCAGTGATCCACTATGTGAACAAAAGCATGGGAATGATTGGGAGATTCAGTTCACAAAGACAGCCCTAATCTGGACTGACAAATCAGTGTGGCCCTAACCTGCTGGCCTTGTCCAGCAAGAGCTCAGAAAAACAGCCCTGAGTGACAAAGTGCTCTCTTCTTTGGACTTGCTGGCTGCTCCATTCATGTCCCGGTAAAGGTTTACACTTTACTTTTCTAGGGACATGTGAAACAGGTAAGCACACTGCCTCTCTTCAAATCCAGTCTCTCCATTAAGCATCACACAAAATAAGCTGCTCTATGAAATCAAGTAAAAATATAAATGGTAGATCTCAATTCCTATTTCTGTTTTGTAGCTGGTCTCAAGTTTTGTTTGTGCTTACATCAGAAGTACAGGAACCTTCTTCTCATGCAGGGGCATGCTTGAGCAGATGAATGCCTGTCATGCTGTCTGCAAAGCAGCCTGGGCACACACACCATTCTGGACACCTTGATCCCTAGACTACTTTTTGCCTCTAGTTTCTCAGGGAGGGAGAGTAGAAACTTGTCTGCTTCACATGGCATGAGGTAGGGAGCTAGATCATGGCTAGGAATACACCCAGAAGTGCTGCCATGATTTCTGTTTAGGCTTATTTTCATTTCTCTCAGAGCCTTCCCTAACATGTTCACTGTTCTTTTTAACCCAACAGTACTGTTTACCAGATGAGACTCTTATCAGCTTTGTCACATCATCAAAGTCTCCAGTCAGGTGATGTGATATCAGTTCTGATCTGGCTATTCACTTTTCTTGGATTGGCTGTTCTCACTGGTTTATCCCTTGCATGTCCCAGGAAGACCCTCTTCAAAACCCAGTGACTCTTGGAAACCCCAAACTGTCTGACACACATACAGGACTGTTTAACTGTCTAGCCCCTGCTTTGATCAAGTTCCTCCTGGGAGGCATTAATTCCTGGAACTAAGATAAAAGCAACAAGAACTGAAATACCCAGCTAGGTCATAGGTGATAATGGAAAGCTGAAATCGCTCACGGTTTCCACAGTCAGCATTGCAGAAGCCAGCAAGATAAACAAATGAAGGCAGAGATCCAAAATTCTCTGGTTCCCCAGGACATGGCAATTCCCACATGTCTCCATTTGAGTTAAAAACACATTTTCCTTCCAGAACGTGTGTCTTGAGTGTGATGGAGCTAAATTTGTCCTTGTCTGCTTTTTATACAAGTAGACCACACTGGACTGCAGACCTCCTAAATCAGTTCATTCTCATGGGAAAAAGCGTGTGGGGAGACAACATGCAAGTACAAAGTATCTAAGATACCTTCTGGCTTATAATTATTCTGATTTTGAGACACTATATCTAAACCAAGGTCTAATTCTCAAATGACAATAGCACTCTTTCATTGACTGTTTCCTCCTACCAGGTATTTTAGTACCTCAAATAACTGTCCCTCCCACCAGTCTCCCTTTTAAGGTACTGAGGGCCTCCTGAAGTAACACAAAATGACTCCTTTTACTGCTTTCAAAAACCAAACCTAGGGCTAAGGTCCTAGGGGATAAAAACCAACAACAACTGGGTCAAACAAACAGCTTGAATAAAGTTGATGCACTGTTGGGCTATTTTTGCTGCTTCAGAGAGAAACATCAGATTTGGTACTTGAGGGATGTAGGGTCTGGGCAGCTCCCACCTCCCTGCCATACAGGCACACTCTGGCCCAATCACCTGCTTCAGGTTCTGCTTTATGGAAACCAGCTCTGATTATCTGGTTTGATTTTTTCAGATATGGATGATCCCAGTCCATGAACTGAAAAGCTGCCTGTGAGCCATGGGATCTGCTCTCCCACAGGTCTTTTTCTGCCTGCCTGCAGAACTGTAATTGATTAACTTGTCCACATCCTCTGGGTCACTGCTCCCATGAGGACAAGGACAGAACATTGTCACAGTGTACTCCCTCTTCAGGGCTCACATGCAGTGCAGCACTGGCATGTTTAGCCTGAGAAAACAAGATCCGTCCTAATATTGTAACTTCATGAAGGAACATGGAAAGCAAAGAGTGAGGATGAGTTGAAAATTAGCAGCCAGGGCTTGTGATTTTGACTGAGAGTAGAGAAAACTCTTAACAAGATATATAGTAGAGATATAATAGAGAAAACTCATAACAAGGATGAGGACAATACAAGTAAAGTAAGTAAATCAAAAGAAGCCCTTTTAACTTTACTTTGCACTTGAAATCAGATCACAGAAACAGTCCTTGGTCCTATGCCAACTTCTCCACCCATGACAGAAGCTCTCAGAGGTGGCTTCACTTGCCAGCTGCAACCTCCAGCACCCTTACTAAATTTCATCAGCTTCCTTCCTCTCTTTTTATTCCCCTTCCTTTTATTTCATCAGAGGTGTAAAACTGGTCTTTGATCACCAAATAATTCAGCAAAACAAATTGTCTAAGTTTATTTTTTCCTTCACTTAGAACCTAAGAATCAATAGCCTGTAACTTCCCTTTAATGCTATTTACTTACTCATGGCCTTGATAACAGACTCTACAAAAACCCCCACAAAATAACAAAGATTATATCTTTTTTTCAGTTATGATCCCTTGTAATTTTTAGCATTAGAAGGAAGATATTTCAGTGTGCTTCGAGTGGGTGGGATAAAGAGAACAGTGACCCATTTATAGAAAATTGTGAGTCCCATCACTCCCTGACAAATCAGCTTAGTCAAATTGAGTAAGTGCAGCCCATTGTTCTGACAACCTGATTTCCTTTTGCAATATGCTGCAAAATGCATGTATCAAGACCTCTACTGTACCTTTTGTGCCCATCTTCTACCCATGGGCAAAGCTTAGAGGAGTAAACCTCACAGCTCCCTGGCATTCTTAAAATTCCTGGTTTTGTGCAATCACCTCAGTGTTGCCTGTTGAGCTTTCCTTGTAACACCACGGCTCGGCCTGTCCCAGCCTTCTTTACAAATGACAGGAAAGCAATGGAGAGAAAAAAAACAAAGATGGCAGGAGGTCTGCATGGATTAGCAAGGAGCTGGTATCTGAAATCAGACATGAAAAGGAAGGGTCCAAGAAGTGGAAGCAGGAGCAGATGGCCTAGCAGTACAAAGCTGCTTTTTGATCTTTCAGGAACAGGGTTAGAAAAGTCAAGGCCAACATGGAGTTGAATCTGTTAAGGGAACTGAAGGGCAACAAGAAAGGATCTACAAATACATTAACAGTAAAAGGAAGACTAATAAAAAAATGGGCCTGCTGCTGAATGAAACAGGAGACTTGGTGACAAATGACAGAAAACGCTGAGGTACTCAATGACTTCTTTGCTTCAGTTTTTCCTATCCAGACCAGTCTTCAGAAAATCACAGAACTCTGAGACTAGAAGGAAAGTCTGGAACAAAAAACCCTTACCCTTAGAAGAGAAGGACCAGGTTAGTGAGCACTTTAACAAACTGGACATGCATAAATCCATTGGGCCTCACAGGATGCATCCATAAGTGCTGATGGAGCTGGCAGATGGGAGAGATTCCTGAGAACTGGAAAAAAGCAAACATCACCCTTATCTTCAAAAGGGAAAGGAGGAGGATTGTGGAACTACAGGCTGATCAACTTCACCTCAATTCCTGGGAAGGTGATAGAGCAGCTAAACCTGGAAAACATTTCCAAATACATGAAATCATTCTCAGCCAACCTGATAACTTTCTACAGCAAAATGACTATCTTGGTGGATGAGGGAAAGCAGCATATACTTTGACTTTAGTGAGGGCCTTGACATTGTCTCTCACAACATCCCACAACATCAATTCCAACATTGGAACTGTCAATGTTAGATAAATGGTTGGACTGGATGATCTTCAAGATCTTTTCCAACCTAGATGATTCTGTGACTCTATGATCATCATAGACAAACTGACAAAGTACAGGTTAGATGGGAGTTGA